CCCATGCATTACAAATGTTCTTAATGGCATCTAGAATGGTGAGTCCTTTCTAGAAGGTTTTCAATTGAGTTTGCCCACATCCATCAGAGAAATCACTATCAATCATAGCTATAGCCTTATGAAGTGTATTTTTTTCAATAATAAGACTTGAAAGTTGAAATTACTCCTTGATCTATGGGCTGCAGAATGGATGTTGTGTTAGCAGGCATGAAAACAACATTCATCTTCTCGTACATCTTCATCAGACCTCCTGGGTGACCAGGTGCATTATCAATGAACAGCAATATCTTGAAAAAAAAACATTTTTTTTTTTTTTGTGAACAATGTTTCTCAACAATGGGTTTAAACTGTTCAGTAAATCATGCTATAAACAGATGTGCTGTCATCCAGCTTTGTTTTTCCATTTCTAGACCATAGGCAGAGTAGATTTTGCATAATTCTTAAGGACCCTAGGATTTTGGAAATGGCAAATTACCATTGGTTTTAATTTAAAGTCACCAGCTGCATTAGCCCCTAAGAAGAGCCAGCCTTCTCTTTAAAGCTTTGAAACCAGGCATTGACTTCTCCTCTCTACCTATGGAAGTTCTAGATGACATCTTCTTCCAACAGAAGGCTATTGCATCTACACTGAAAATCTAAAATCTATTGTTTAGGCCAGGTGCAGTGGCTCATGACTGTAATCCCAGCACTTTGGGAGGCCAAGGTGGGCAGATCACTTGAGGTCAGGAGTTTGAGACCAGCCCGGCCAACATGGTGAAACCCTGTCTCTACTAAAAATACAAAAATTAGTCGGGCGTGGTAGCGTGCACCTGTTGTCCCAGCTGCTCAGGAGGCTGAGGCAGGAGAATCGCTTGAACCCTGGAGGCGGAGGTTGCAGTGAGCCGAGATCACGCTACTGCACTCCAGCCTCGGTGACAGAGCGAGGCTCCGTCTCAGAAAGAAACAAACAGGCCAGGCGTGGTGGCTCACACCTGTAATCCTAGCACTTTGGGAGGCTGAGGTGGGTGGATCACCTGAGGTGGGGAGTTCGAGACCAGCCTGACCAACATGGAGAAACCCCATCTCTACTAAAAATACAAAATTAGCTGGGCATGGTGGCCCATGCCTGTAATTCCAGCTACTTGGGAGGTTGAGGCAGGAGAATGGCTTGAACCAGGGAGGCGGAGGTTACAGTGAGCCGAGATCACGCCATTGCACTCCAGCCTGGGCAACAAGAGTGAAACTCCATCTCAAAAAAACCCCAAACAAACAAAAAGAAAATCTATTGTTTAGTGTGTCTATCTTCTCAGTAATCTTAGATCTCCTGGATAACTTGCTGCAGCTTCGCCATCAGCACGTGCTGCTTCACCTTGCACTTTTACGTTATGGAGTTGGCTTCCTTCCTTAAGCCCCGTGAACAAACCTCTGTTAGCTTCCAACTTTTCTTCTGCAGCTTCCTCACCTTTCTGAGCCTTCATAGAATTGAAGAGAGTTAGGGGCTTGCTCTGGATTAGGCTTTGGCGTAAGGGAATGTCGTGGATGGTTTGATCTTCTATCCAGACCACTCAAACTTTCTCCATATCAGCAATAAGTCTGTTTAGCTTTCTTATCATTCACTGGAGTAGCACTTCTAATTTCTTTCAAGAACTTTTGTTTGCATTCACAACTTGACTAACTAGCACCAGATGCCTCGCTTTCAGCCTATCTCAGCTTTCGACCTGCTTTCTTCACCAAACTTAATCATTTCTAGCTCTTAATTTAAAATGAGAGACAAGTGACTCTTCCTTTCACTTGAACACTTAGAGGACATTTTAGGGTTATTCCTCGGCCAGTTTTCAATATTGTTGTGTCTCAGGGAATAGGAAGGCCTGGGGAGAGGGAGAGAGATGAAGGAATAATCAGTTGGTGAAGTGGTCAGAACATGCACATTTATCGGTTGAATTCCTCATGTTATATGGGTGTAGTTCTTGGCACCTCAAAACAATGACAAGAGTAACATCAAAGATAACTGCTCGGGCTGGGTGCAGTGTCTCATGCCTGTAATCCCAGCACTTTGGGAGGCCAAGGCAGGCAGATCCCCTGAAGTCATGAGTTGGAGACCAGCCTGGCCAACATGGTGAAACCCCAACTCTACTAAAAATACAAAAATTAGCTGGGCGTGGTGGTGCATGCCTGTAATCACAGCTACTCCAGAGGCTGAGACAGGAGAGTTGCTTGAACCCAGGGGTGGAGGTTGCAGTGAGCCGAGATCGCACCACTGCACTCCAGCCTGGGTAACAGAGAGAGACTCTGTCTCAAAAAAAAAAAAAAAAAAAAAGAAAAGAAAAATTAAAACTTACCAAAAGGAGTCATGAACCCCTGAGAATGTATCTATGGGTCTCAGTTTGAGAAACTCAAGGGTCTGACTGAGGGTTGGGTTGCATAGCATGGTGGTGGGCATTACCATCAGGGCCCATCAGCCCTAAAGGCAGAGGATGTGGGTTTCTTTTCTTTGAGAAAGGGTCTCACTCTCAGGCTGCAGTGAGACTGCCTGCCCGGGCTGGAGTGCAACGGCACGAACAGGGCTCACTGCAGCCTCAACCCCTTGGACTCAAGTGATCCCCCTGCCTCAGCCTCTTGAGTAGCTGGGACCACAGGTGTGCGCCACCACTCCTGGCTAATTTTTGTATTTTTTGTAGAGATGGGGTTTCACCATGTTGGTCAGGCTGGTCTCAAACTCCTGACCTCAAGGGATCCTCTTGCCTCTGTCTCCCAAAATACTGGGATTACAAGTGTGAGCCACACTCGCTCAGCTGGGTGTGGGTTTGAATTCCAATTCCGTGGTGCCACTCATTCACTGGTTGCCTTCAGGATGGCGACTTTATTCCTTTGGTCTATCAGTTTTCTAAAACATGGTGATATTCACAGGAGCCACTGTGATCCCAGGGATACATGTAGTGTGACCTTGTGGGCCAGGGTGGGCTGCACAGCTGGAAAATGTAGGGGGTGGGATGGCAGGTGCCCAGGGTCTGGGGCTGTTCCTTCTGGTCCAAGTGCCTGGGTGTAGGGGCAGTTGGTGGGGGGCAGAGGGGTTTAACTGCTATTAGGGTACCTTAATTTGTGAGGCCAGGGAGGTGGATGGGCCCCATCCCAACTCTGATGCTTGATTGAAAGTGTGAGGCATAACCCTAGTATCACCCTGAATGTGCCCGGTCTTATCTGATCTTGGAAGCTAAGCAGGGTTGGGACCTGATAGTACTTGGATGGGAGACCGCCTGGGAATACTGGGTGCTGTAGGCTTGACCAGGCATGATGGTGCACGCCTATAATCCAATCACTTTGGGAGGCTGGGGTGGGAGGATCGCTTGAGCGCAGGAGTTCCAAGACCAGCCCGGGCAACATAATGAGATCCCATCCGAACACACACACACACACACACACACACACACACACACACACACACACAGAGCGAGGACACTGAGTGAGAACCCCGGCAGAGAGCCATGTTGCATATGGGGCAGGGCCCGGGGAGCACAGAAGCCCTGGATGATGCTCAGGGACCCCCAGAGCCCAACCTTCCTGCAGGGCCCTTTCACAACTAGGATGGCTGGGACAGAATTCCCCAACCAAACAAGGGCTGAGGCACATCTTTAGGACCAGATGGGAGAAAGGCTCTGGCAGCGCCTTCCCTGGAAGCTGATTCAGAGGCTCCATGGCAGGCAGGGGTGCGTAGCACTGGTTCCCTCCAGGGCTCAGGTCCCGATGACAGTTCTAAGTCCACTGTGCTGTGTAGGCTGGAAGGGGCCCTTGGAGGGAAGTAAGGGTCCTGGAGAGGGGAGAGGAAAGGCATGATAGGCTTTGGAGGTGAGCAAAGGCTGGAGCCAGGTAGGCCAATGTGGGGGTCTTGCCCTCGCAGAGAGAGGTGGCCCACCTGGCGTTCTACTGTTTCTAATGTGGGCAGAAGGGACCCAGGTCCGGGGCTGCGAGCCTGCAAGGCCTCCCGTGGCCATCACTGCTTTCCTCTCCTCCATCTTTCTGGAACCGTGGTGCACTCTGCCTGCAACTCAGACAAGGACCTGCAGAGCTGGGTCCCACTCACTGTCATCCTGGGTCTCCCAGCCTCAGAGGCTTTGCTGTCCCCAGGTCTGTATGGGTCCATGTACTGTGTGCATGTGTTTGTCATATGGATGTGGAGCGGATGGGGACAGAGGGCTGGAAAGACACAGAAGGAGGTAAGACAAAGCCTGGAGGAAGGGCATGGGGAACACATGCTCATGTTAGGTGTGATGGGGAGGTGTCTTGGGGGCCAGCCTGCTGAGGGCATCACGAGGTAGGTCTCCATGCCCTCAAAGGTGCCTGGACACTGCCTCCCCTTCCTGCAGGAAGCCTCTGCTCCAAAGACAGCCAGGAGCATTTTCTCCTGGAGCTCAGATGCTGGCTGTCCACGCATCCCTCCACGGAGAGGCTGCAAAATGGTCCCCCAGCCAGCCCAGTGCTCTCTCTCTATGGGGTGCAAGCAAGTGAGCCCGAGTTCAGAATCGTTTCGTTCCTTGGGGATGGCAAGTCTGGAGGTTAGCTTGGTGACTGCAGGCCAGGGAAACAAATTTACTGTCATTACTGCTTGGTAATTAACACCCTTGTTGCCTGCTCTGGGTCATGTGAGATGTGAGAGATTTAGGGAATATTTTAATCTGAAATCTCACAGCACAGAGATAAACGTGGCGTGGTGAAGCCGGGCTGCAATCGACATATTTATCGTCCAAGGCTGACCGTCCAATGAGTGCGATCCGCTCTTCGCTTTGGATGGATAGCGAATCACTCTCTGTTTTTATTATTTCAATTCCTGTCCTTCATGGGGTTGTGGTGAATTAGCTCGGTGCCATTTTCTAAAATATCAAGCATTTTTATACATTAGGTATAGTGAATGGCAAATACTTGATGTAAAGTCTGCAGTTTTACTCCATAACCAGATTGTAAAATATGAACTGAATTAATCATAACTGCGAAGACTAATGGTACGTTTTCTCTTATTTTATCTTTAGTGCCTTTCAGATCATGTTTTAAAACCTTCCACGTCTGGCGTTGGGAACGCAGCCGCGGCTTGGTGGTGGATAGCAAGAGGCAAAGGTCAGACCGGAGGCTGCACAAATATTGTGTGCTGGATTTATTGTTTTAATTAAGAGCGTGGCAGTTCATCATAAACTGTTTATGGCGTTTCTGCACAGAGCAGCATTTTGAAATCAGCTGTTTTAATGAAAACATAATGTCATATCTGTCAAAGTTCTAAATATTTTGAAAGTGAAATATGGAAACAAGAACTTTAATTCTAGGTTTACTGAGATTAGCTCATTGAATTGCTTTTAAATCCCTTAAGAGGGTCACATCATGGGGACTGCATGGTTTCTTGTAGGTGACCGGGAAAAAAGAATTCTAGGTGGTTCTCAGGCTGGTTATTTAATAGTGAAAATACAAGTTGAAGGTTAATGTATCGAAAAACAAAAACCATTATGGTTGGCGTTGGGGTTTTAGATTAAAGATGCAATAATGGGTGTTCAGGGGCCTTGATGTTGGATGGTTTGGGGAGGCCTAATTGTGCCGAGAGGGAGCTGAGAGCCTCCCAGGGCAGGAGAGAAATGGACCCACCCTTGTCCTTTCCTAGTTGCGAAGCCTCAACATCTCCGTGTCTGCAACTAATTATTTATAATGACCTCAAAGATGATGGGGTTTCACGGACTTTTGACGCTGAGCAGTTTGCAATATCCTAGTCATTCCCTCTCATGGTCGCTGGGCATCTGTGTAGACACGCCAGCCATTCTTGGTTACATTTGTCAGGGAGTCGGATAAAATATTTGTCTAATCTGGAAATTGTATTTTTAGCTGTACTCTCATTGGAAACAGAAATTAAGCTTGTCATTAGATGCCGGGCCACAGGAGTTGACTGAACAGGGTAATGTATGTTATATTCTGCGCTCTACTTGGTCAAGTTTCATATATATCGTATTCCACATTATTTTATTAACTTTAATATCTGCACTTCCTATTACCAGACATGCCCCTCATTCAAAGCACAGAGGCACAGTTCTCTAATCAGAAGTGACAGGCTATATACTTTTTCTCAGCCATTACTCGGTAGCCTAGAGCAAAGAACTCTGTTTCCTTGAAAATGTTTTGAATTGGGTTATTTTTATTGAAGTATTAAAGTAATTCTTCAGATTTTAGGCTATTATTTAAGTACTTTTGGGAGAATACAATAACCTCTGGATTCTATAGGCTTTGTTACTTTAACCATCTGAGCCGCTAAATGCATCTTTTTAATGCCAGTTATATAAGTGTCTCAGAACTCATCTGACCAGCGGAAGCTAAGAGCATGCAGGTAATTATAGAAAATTAGTAGGCTAAATTAGTTTAGGAAAGCACGAAAAAGCACAATATTAAAACTGCTTGCAAAATATAGGTTTTGCTTGCCAGATTCTCAGTGACAAATGAGCATTTCTAATTATTTTATCTTCGCGTTTTTGTAATTCGGTTGAAATAGCCAAGAGACTGGTGGGGAAAGCTGAACTGGGCATTGGTTGGTGTAGTCTGAGAATGAAGCAACGACTTCAATAATCATTCCAATCCTGCTGCCGGGGTCGCCTACTATAGCATTGGAGCAGGTGGCAAAGTGTTGGGCTGTTGGGCAGGAAAACCCACTATTGGACAGCTCTGTTGGAGGACGTTTCTGGAGGTCAGAGTTCAAGCCATGAGAAGGTCTCATGGTTCCTTTCTGGAGATGGCTCCATTTTTGTCAACAGAAAGTTATAAAGAGGATACTATTTTTGCACACATCCTGTACCAACTTGTCCATGACTCCTCCGCTGGCACAGTCCTGTGATACTTCAGGTGCCCTGTGATGAGTGTGTCACCTGAAGCTTGAGTAAGAGAACTAGACTTCATCAAATGCTCAGTACCTACCAAGCCATAGTCCTTGGCCTGTTGTCTTATGGAGTCCTCCCTGTACCGCCCTCCTCTCCCGCCAGGAAAGGCCCCACAACAGGACATTGTATTAGGCTGTTCTTGCACTGCTTTAAATAAATACCTGAGACTAGGTAATTTATAAAGAAAAGAGGTTTCATTGGCTCAAGTACTGCAGGTTGTACAGGAAGCATAGCACCTGTATCTGTTTCTGGTGAGGCCCCAGGAAGCTTCTAATCATGGCAGAAGGCGAAGAGGGGGCAGGCACCTCTCATGGCGGAAGCAGGAGCAAGAGAGAAGGGGCAGGAGCCACACACTCTTAAACAATCAGAGCTTGCAAGACCTCACTCGTTATTGCCAGGATAGTACCAAGCCATGAGGGATCCACCCCAATGACCGAAACACCTTCCACTTGGCCCCACCTCCAACATTGGGAATTACATTTCAACATGACATTTCAATGTGGACAAGTATCTAAACTACATCAGGTACCATCTGTTTAAGGGCACGTATACAAATTGCAGAATTGAGATTGAAACTGAAGTTCAAAGCCAAGTTTCTTTCACCCTGCTATGCCATGCCATCTCCAAAAGAACCCAGCAAGAAAGAGTCCATCTCATTCTTTCCCTTTTGTCCAGCCTCAAGGTGGTTTTGTTTGCAACTGGTCCTTTCTGATGTGACCCAGAGATGACCACATGCCAAGAAGCTTTTAGGAAGAAGGGTTTGCAATACATGTGGTTAACAAAAAACAAAACAAAACAAAAACAACAAAACAAAAAAACGAAAACAAAACAAAACAAGAAAATCAGCATTATGTGATTGGAAAAATAACCAGACCCTGTGGCCTTCTCCAGTATTCATTGGAATTCACTTTTGAATGTGGCAAAATAGACAGGTTTGACCACGGGCTAAGTGCGAATGGAAGCACCTGCAAGGGAATCCCATTGTAAGGTATCTGGGATAGATGCCATTAAAAAGCTCATTAAAAAAATCTCAGCCAGTAGGCCAGGCACAGTGGCTCACACTTGCAATCCCAGCACTTTGGGAGGCCAAGGCAGGCAGATCACTTGAGGTCAGGAGTTTGAGACCAGCCTGGCCAACATGGTGAAACCTCATCTCTACTAAAAATACATAAACTAGACAGGCGTGGTGGTGCACACCTGTAATCCCAGCTACTCAGGAGACTGAGGCAGGAGAATCGCTTTAACCCATGGAGACAGAGGCTGCAGTGAGCCAAGATAGCACCACTGCATTCTTGCCTGGGCAACAGAGTGAGACACCACGTCAGAAAACAAAAAAATTCCCAGCCAGTACTCTAAGGTAAGAACTAGTAGACATAAGTACAGACGTTCATATCATCAGCAGATATGTTAAAGCAGAGGTAAATTTGAAAGGCACTAAAAACAAACAATCACCAGAGCAGCCAGTTAGAAGTCAGATGGAACTGGATGGGGGTCACCATTCAGTGACTACTCTGGATGCTAAGTTCTAGGCATTGAACCAGGGTTTCCTTGCCCTACATGCTGAAATGCTAGCCCAGTAGCTATGGCTGTTATTTCCACGAACACACATGTGTGCATTAGTGATGTGCAGTTTATATAAATGCATCGTCTTAGGTCTTCATAGTAGCCTGTTAGACTGGCACTGGTATCCCTATTTTACAGATGAGGAAATTAAGTGTGTTCCATCACTTAGCCCAAGGAATGCAGGTAAAGCACAGTTTAGTTGTAGACAGAGGGGGCAAACATATTGCACAATAGTTTAGGGAAAGTGCTTAGAGGGTCCTTTGTGATGTATTCTGCAATCCCCAGGCGATGAGTGGCTCTGTGAAATTGTCTGTCACCTGGGGTAGAACTAGTGATGTTCACCAGACATGACCTTCTCTTCTCCCACATTTCCCACCTCCCTTGCAAACAGGAAGATGTACCTTATTCTGGTCAAAAGGCTGCTTCCCGGTGAAAGCATAGTAGAGCATGTGTGTGACTAACTATGGCTTTCTTTCACTTCATCTGCCTGGGCAGCCACAGAGGCCTTGTGTTGAGATACAGGAGCTGCAGAACAATACAGCCTGATCACTGAGACACATGGAATGTGGGACAGCTGCTCTTGTGAGTCTCCCAGACTCTCAGCACAAGAAATTAACACTGTGGCCGGGCACAGTGACTCACTCCTGTAATCTCAGCACTTTGAGTGGTCAAGGCAGGAGGATTGCTTGAACTCAGGAGTGTGAGGTCAGCCTGGGCAACAGAGGGAGACCCCGTCTCTACAAAAAAAGAAAAAAAAAATTGGCGGGGTGTGGTGGCATGTGCTTGTTAATTCCAGTTACTCGGGAGGCTGAGGCAGGAGGACTGCTTGAACCCAGGAGGTTGAGGCTGCAGTGAGCCATGATTAAGCCACTACTCTCTAGCCTGGGCGACAGAACCCTGTCTCTAAAAACTTAAAAAAAAAAAGAAATAAATTAACACTTGTATCAAACTACTGAGATTTTGGGACTGTTTGTTGCAGTGGTACGAGCCTGCCTCATCCTGACTTACACACCTCTCTAGGCACTTGTTTTGGTGAGATTTCAATTACAGCTGGGATTCTTCCCAGGGTCCAGAAGCAGCAGTTCCTCTTCCTCCTCCTTCTGCCTTCTTGGCTTCCACCCTGTTTGGTTTAGATCAGTGACAACCGACTCCTGCGAAGCCCTTTGCGATCTTTGTATTAGGGATGCAGTATAGAAATGAATTGTATTGTTTGTGTAGATGTCACCCTTGGCTCCTCCTTGCTGAAATTGACTGTAACAAGTGGTTGGAATTTCCACTGGAGGGTAATTTATATTTATTTGAGCTGCCACCAAGTCCTTATTTAGTTTGCATAAACTACCCAGGACAAAAGAGGAATCTCCCCAGACCCTGTTTATCTTGTGAAAGTGGAGCTTGTTCTGGAGGGCGGATCACTCTTCACATGGACCTCCTTCCATCCCTTCTAGCAATGAATAATCAGTCATCAGCAGAGGGGATTAAAAAATAGATTTATTGCTATTTCTAAAAGTCAGAACGAAAGAATGAGTAAACACAACAACAGATGCATAAGAACGTAAGTAGGAACACTATTTTACAATAACATGTACTGAAACACACTTATGTACTGGAAACTATGAAAAATAGCTCTCTTTAAATGATTTAACATTT